ATAATACATTACACGTGTAATCTACAAGTGTACATGCTCGTGTTTGCTTATAGCTATGGTGTAGGTAAATAGATAGACTTATAGTAGTATGTATGAATCAGTCTAACAATGCATAATACATTACACGTGTAATCTACAAGTGTACATGCTCGTGTTTGCTTATAGCTATGGTGTAGGTAAATAGATAGACTTATAGTAGTATGAATGAATCAGTATAACAATGCATAATACATTACACGTGTAATCTACAAGTGTACATGCTCGTGTTTGCTTATAGCTATGTTGTGTCAGTGAACACCTATTTTTATGAACCACAAAAAAGTTTACAAATAATTAATACTTTCAATAAATTATACTAAAATGAGCACAAAATTCAATCTCAGTGCACTTATTTTTCAAAATTTTTCTGGGGGGGGCATGTTTCTAAACCCCCTACCCTCCCCAGCACTGACATGTTTTGCACACACTTCCAAAATTGCTTCCTTTCAGCCTTCGTGGCATAGGTAAGTGGAAGCAGTAGTGTCTTTCAGTAACAAACTAATATCAAATACATATATATTTAATAGCCTAGTATTGTTGTGATAACTTGTAAAACGTGATTCAGTATTAGTAGGTTTCTATTGTTCTATCGTTGTCATTACGTTTCAAACATGTGCCTTATCGAATGATTCGATCTCTTTGTGGATAAATTTATAAAAGGATATCTTTTTTTTTTACGTATATTTGTTGGAAATCGAGTTGGAAATTTGATTTATATCTCGTTCTGCCGGAGAAGATTCGGGTTAGCTGCTTATTGGTATATATATATAAGGTGCCTTCCAAACTTTATTAATCTAGGTTCATAACAGTTGTTTTATTCTAGCTTTGAAAAGTCTCAAACTAAGAGACACCATCCCACATCGAGATGAACACGGGTTTCCAAATGTAATAACAACAAGAAACTAGTCTTTTAGAGAAGGACGTCCGAGTAAGAATAAATACAAAGTAATTTCTGAACAGGTGTTGCCTGTAGTTCATCTGTTACAGCTTGTGAAACAAACACGTAACGTATCAGTCACTGGGGGGTAGTCTTGCATAAGGACTGTTTGAAAAAGTGTCACATGATTTTTAGCCAGCTCGTGATTGGTTATGTTGACTAGTTTCAGCTTCGTCTCCAGAAAACATGCACATACACACGTAAAAGGCTGTTCTTTTTCCTACTGGTATTAGTTTCACTGACAGGTGTCAGTTGAGAAGGGTTGATATATCTACCAGGATAGCTAATTGCAGTGCTTTGAATTTAAAAACCAACACGTAATTCCACCGGAAACACGGACAGAATTCTTCTTCTCCCGCAGCTAAGTCACGTGACTGATCGCTTCGTCTATGTGTAGTTGGAGGCTAATAATATATTCCGTTGTCTGAGCAATCGTAACCCATAGAGATTACTTTCTGGTCTGTTAGCTGGTGGTGGGTAAACTAAACAAATTTGGCGTTAAACAATATTTAATTGCGATATTTTTGAAAATTACTTTCTACTCAGTGGTAAACAGTTTCTATTCCAACTAGTTTTTAGTTTTCTCTGTTACTGATTCCGATAAAAATATCTCTACGTTTTACAGTTTGAAATGCTGCAGAAAAAATAAAGTATGGTGAAAGAGCAAGAACTTTTGAAGCACGTTAAACACAACGACATCAGTAAAGTTCAGGTAAAGAGGTTTGGTTTTCTGTAATAATAATAATGTCACCTTTGAACAATATGTCGATCAAATGAAAGTTTTTATCATAATTATCAGTCACGAGATTTGTTAGATCATTCTGTAAACAGCTCTTTTTTACGCAAAAGTAATTTTAAGTCTTGCGTATTTATAAATTTTACAAGAAGTAACTAGCCCTTCTTAGATTAAATCTAGTTTTATTCACTACTGACAAGAAGTAACTAGCCCTTCTTAGATTAAATCTAGTTTTATTCACTATTGACAAGAAGTAACTAGACATTCTTAGATCAAATCTAGTTTTATTCACAGTATTGACAAGAAGTAACTAGCTATTCTTAGATCAAATCTAGTTTTATTCACTACTGACAAGAAGTAACTAGCCCTTCTTAGATTAAATCTAGTTTTATTCACTACTGACAAGAAGTAACTAGCCCTTCTTAGATTA